ATCAGTGTATAAGCATTGGTAAACTGTCCAAATACAGTTTTTATCAGTGTAAACAGCAATAATTACTGTAATTTCACAGATAATGACTTTTATTACAGTTCTATAACTTTTAACATTCTGATTAAAATAAGAAAAATCTAATAACAGCACTCTGCTGTAAATTTAAGACAGAGTTCAGAGATTTTATGTAAAATTAAAGCTAAAAACTATATTTTAATTATAGAAAATGAAAAAAAGTTAGGCACTTAAGCTGCTGTAATATTATTGTTTTTAACTTTTATAGTGTATTTAAACTACATAAAGTAAACAATATAATGTCCATGTATGTATCACACACAAACACTTGGCATTTAAGTCACCTTATATATTCATAAAATATACGTTATCAAACTGCCTCCAGAAGATGATAAACTTTTTTTTTTTTTTAGACAGTTTATTCAGAAATGATCAATTAATAACCAAAACGACTAAAATCCAGACAAAATATTTAATTTGGGATAGTAAAATGAAACTGAACTGTCAGTGAGTGATACAGAAAATAATTCAGTTCTATGTCATATCAGAGTTGACCACATGATGGCAGCGTTACCTCATAAGTAAATATAAACCTCCACCAGTCAGTCAGAGGAATAATACTCTACTCTCATACTATATACTTTAAAATGTATAATAAAATCCCAGTAAAAGAACATACAAATTAGCACACATACTAAAAGTACCAAAAGTAAAAGTACTACTTTATACTACTACTATAATATACTTTATATTCTGATGATATTCTGATGTTCCCCTGGATAAATAAATCTAAAATAATGCATCATAATGTATAACTTTATTATACTTTGTATTAATTACCTGATCTTACAAGTTATTAAATAAATGTAGGTCAGTAAAAAAAAAAGCACCATATTTGTCATCCAGCAGATACTACAACTACCTGCTGAGGAAGGAAGCTCAAAAGCTACAGCTACTAACAGAGTGAGTGAGAAACACTCACTATTTCATGGTGCTGCCATATGGCAACAATTAATTTATCTCAATCTTACTGAAAGGCAGTAATACTGAACCCATGTTTTACTGTTTTATTTTGAAAAGGGGTCTTTTACTTTGATAGTACAAACAAACGGGTCCCTGGTTATGATATCATGCTAACTTTTTTGGGGGTATTTTTCGGGTATAATTTAACACACAAAAAGCACCAGAAGGTTTTTGGGGAAAAGCCATTTTATTAAAAGTCATATACAAAAGGAATATTCCATGTTAGGTTGCTATAAAACGTCCATATGTACAACAATATCATACAGATCAACGCTGCTCAGTCGAAGTTAAAAACACTTTTACACACAGCACAGACAACATCTGGAGCTTCACATCGGCGTAGAAAAAGACACCCGTGTTGTTTCATTTGGATGCATAGCTTTGAGTCTAGAAGGGCTTCTTTTATTCTGAAGGAAAAACCGACTGTTGTGACACAAGAATCAAGTGCAATTCGAAAACCTTTAAAATATCCGATTGTTGCCGTTTCGTTGGCTGAGGATTGAGTTACGCACTTCTCCTTTAAGAGTCACTTTTATCAAATAGAGTTTGTATAAAAACTCTTTGATTGTTTCCTAAAAACCCTCAATGGGGGAACGTTGACTCCCTACGTATAAAACTACATTCATCAGACGGTGCAATGACAACATATGCAGCCGCCGAGAGGTAGGAAACAACCGCCGGACACAAAGCTCGTTTAAAGTCACCCAACAAAACCGCTGTTTCACATTTTCT